GAGATGGGACACAGACACAAGAGGTCACAATTGGAAGTTGAAGACTCGGATGAATCAAAGGGATGTTAGGAAGTATTTCTTCAGTCATAGAGTAGTCAAGCCGTGGAATAGCCTAGAAAGTGAAGTAGTGGAGGCGGGAACCATACATAGTTTTAAGGCGAGGTATGATAAAGCTCATGGAGCAGGGAGAGAGAGGGACCTAGTAGCAATCAGTGAAGAGGCGGGGCCAGGAGCTATGGACTCGTACCCCGCAACCACAAATAGGTGACGTACGCATCGCGAGCGCACACAGCACACACACACCCACCACACACACAACACTACACACACCACACACACACACACACACAGGATGCAGGGATGTTAGGAAGTATTTCTTCAGCCACAGAGTAGTCAGGAAGTGGAATAGTTTGGGAAGCGATGTAGTGGAGGCAGGATCCATACATAGCTTTAAGCAGAGGTATGATAAAGCTCACGGTTCAGGGAGAGTGACCTAGTAGCGACCAGTGAAGAGGCGGGGCCAGGAGCTCGGACTCGACCCCTGCAACCTCAACTAGGTGAGTACACACGCACGCAAGCACACGCACACACACACAACACACACACAACACACACACACACACACACACACACACACACACACACACACACACACACCATCTAAGGAACAGTGCAGCAGGTCTACTGGCCTATGCTAGGCCAATAGGCCTAGCAACTTGCATTTCAAGCTACCGAAAGCTCTTGTCTCAGTGACTCTACTGAGAGTTCCTGGTACTCCTCCATAATTTACCCACTACCATCATTACCCGCTACCATCAGTCACCATCAACACTCCCTCAGTCCCCAATTTACTCCCCACGCAAAATAACTTCCCAATCACCTCCCTATCGCCAGTCAAGTCTCTCTGCTTTGCAACTCACGCCTAACTCCTAACTGTGACATGGCAACGTCTAACATATTACCTCCCATCCCCCCTATTTTTGCCCGTTGGATCGAACCATCATTCTTCTCTCCGTGCCTTTAATGAGTGAAAATGGGGAGTTTTGGACGAGGGGCGATGAAATCATGAGTGTAGGAGGAAGGAAGGAACGGGAGGGAGTTGTTGGTGAAGATGAGGATCTACTCTGAGTTACTCTGAGTTGCAGCACTGATCGATACTTTGCTGTAATTCTGAGAGAGATTTGTTGGGTCATGGGAGGGAAGGAAGGAGGGGATGGGGGGTGGTAAGCGTTTTAATTATTAGTTTGCATTATTGCTTTTTCGATTTTCTTTTTTTAAACGTTTGGGTAATTTTATCTTTCATAAAAAATAATGGAGGGAGGAAGGAGGGAAGGAAAGGGAGATGGAGACAGGGTGGTAGGGATGAGAGATACGGGGGAGGGGAGGAAAGGGAGAGAGATCATTAGTCAATCTCCATACAACAAAGAACAAATATAAACAAGGTAAATACACGTACATATACACTACGTGATATACACGGATATATACACCACATAATATACTAACGAAATCTGTTACTAAACACGTAAGCACGAAAATAATAATGAAGTATCTCCGAGGCAGAGCCACAATTGTTTTCCTCTTTTATTCCCTTCCTCCAACTAATCGTAATTTATTTCACTCATAACTCGAGAAAGCTTCACCCGATCGACTTCAACGTTTGAGCGCTGGTGTACGGTAACTAGGCCAAGTTTCTTGAAACGACTAGCCCATGCCTGTGCCTCATGACCAGAGGTGAACTCATTCCCAACTTCCTGGAGTGGCTGCCAGAACTTACAAAACCCTCAGTGGCGGAGCTCAAAACATTCAAGAAAATATTAAATTTACCCCCTTTTTTTGGGGGGGGGGAGGATTCTGACCGAGTTTCCAGAGTCAGTCTACTCCCGGAGCCCGGCCATGGGCCAGGCTCGTCTGATCAACCAGGCTGTTGCTTCTCGAGGAGGCCCACTGCCCCACATATCCATCACAGCCTGGATGAGCTGTGCCTGTTTCATTATCAACTTAGTTAATGAGAAACAACTGGTAAACGTCTCTGCTAGTCACAAACAAGTCACAGTTGTTACTTGACACAGATATTCTGTTTTAAATCTTCATAATGTACTTTTATGTGCCCATAATGTGTGTGCCTTTTATGTGTTCATGTGTACCTTTTGTGTTCATGTGTGCCTTTGATGTGTTCATAACATGTGTGCCTTTTATGTGCCCATAACATGTGTGCCTTTTATGTGCTCATAGCATGTGTGCCTTTTATGTGCCCATAACATGTGTGCCTTTTATGTGCCCATAACATGTGTGCCTTGTATGTGCCCATAACATGTGTGCCTTGTATGTGCCCATAACATGTGTGCCTTGTATGTGCCCATAACATGTGTGCCTTGTATGTGCCCATAACATGTGCACATACCTTCTTACTTACCTATGTATTCGCCAACTTTTTTAAGTATGTTAAAGCGCTGGTCAAACCTGGTAATACTGACTTGATCTTCTCTTATGTAGGTCCTTATTTGTATTTTCTCAGGAAGAAATTGGGGAAAGTAAAATACTACTTGTCATGTGATAATTTGTGAGTGTCACGTCCAATTACCGTCAACCTTCAATAATTATAACCTGGTAACGCAACTTGTGACGGGCTGCAACCTTAATATACTGGTGTGTTCTTTTTCATAATACTGGTCTCTGAGATAAGAGAACGTCTCCTCAGTTAAGCTTCAAACTTGTTGTTTCTTAGTGGAAAGTTTGAATTACATCTCGTTTGTGTATCTCCTGATTTACTATTGTTATATTGAAAAAAAATTATATTAGTTTCATTATGATGACTTGTGAATACTTCTGATTTTATTCAGATCTTCAGTGCTAATATATACTTGCACTACAAAATTATGCCTCACTCTGCACTGTTCCAATCGCTTGTGTTGACGTAGACGGAGCTGCGGTTATGGAATGCGGGGATACATTTCCCAGAGTGCACAGCGACCGCAATACATCTAGTTTAACCCAAGACTTCAATTTATAAACTAGAGGGTGTAGGAGGCTGCGTCAGAGAAGACACATGCCAGCCACACTACACAGTCTTCTGGCACGAGTTTGTGTGCATTAGCACAGTGAAGAAGGAACCCGCTTAAAGTAATCTTGTTCTGTTGACAACGATAAGACTTGGGCAGGATAATGTATGTTGCAAGATATGGTGCAAGGTAGGTATAAATACACAACATATAAACAGTAAACAAGGCACGATATAAACAAGATATAACAATAAACAAGATATAAACAAGACAAGATAATGCTGAAAACCATCAAATAAAATCATATAGTTCGTTCTGATTAAACCAATGAATGATTTAAAAGATTTTGGAAATCAATGAACACAAGATCTTGGAACCAATAATGAATAGGATCAAGCCACCACTTAGAAATATACAGGATCAACCCACTACGTGAATGGCTACAAACCAAGTGCAACACCTGGCTAGAATATCTTTCAAGACTGAGGGACTATCACCTCACACTGCTATTTCATGTCTTCCACCGTCTTCAGTATTATTCTCTCTGGTGGACTGATGAAGCCACTGGTTGGTCAAACTTCTCCACAAGAAAGCCAATTGTTGCTAATATCCCATATTCCAGAGTGAAAGGTCCTGGTAAGTTGTACACTGGGTAAGTTGTACACTGGGTAAGTTGTACACTGGGTAAGTTGTACACTGGGTAAGTTGTACAATGGGTAAGTTGTACAATGGGTAAGTTGTACAATGGATAAGTTGTACAATGGGTAAGTTGTACAATGGGTAAGTTGTACAATGGGTAAGCTGTACACTGGGAAAGTTGTACATTGGGTAAGTTGTACACGGGGAGAGTTGTACACTGGGAAAAGGATTTGCCTGTCTATAGTACTCACATTATTATAATCAAAAAGAAGCGCTAAGCCACAAGGACTATACAGCGCTATAGTACTCACAAAGCCGTAAAACCTTTCTGGTTACTCAGTGTTTTAAACATAATATGTCTAACATATATACACTACCAGCGCCAACTTGCTACTGTCATCAACAATTCTCTCTAACATGACGTAGATGATAATTACAACGCAAGTAAAACTATTCAACGTCAGTTCTTTACATTCCTCAATCCACGTCCACAGAACGTTCCATGTCATCAGCTAGGAGTGTGAGCGCATGAAGACGAAGTGGTGGAGGGGGTAATATCTGCAGCATTGTCAAGCAAGCAGTTGGTGGGGAGAGTGGCAACCCCTCCCAGAGAGGCTTCCCCCATACCCCTAGCATCAAACCAGACCCCCCTCACAACCACCACATTAAGGTGACCCAGCGTCGGGGGATACACAGAGAGAGGGCTACATAGGGAGAGGGTTACACTGGGAAAGGGTAACACCGGGAGAGTACTTCACTGAGTGACGGTTCAACCAGAGCTCCAGCAAGTCCTAAGCCACACACGAAAGTGCATAGAAGAAACAGACCATGAAGGAGGGCAGAAAACAGGGAAGCATGCGTCGCGACCTTTTTTACTCGTCGAGGTACTTTGCACCGTCTGCCAAGTGTTGTACTTTCCACAGGAAGTGATTCTGGAGAGTAGGTTTGGGACCAGGCCCCCCCAGAATTTTCCAGGTGTAGATTGTATATTTCTCACCCGAGTTCTAAGGAATACAGCTGAAGTTTAGATGAATGAATGAGTGTATACGGGCAATAAAGTTCTCTGTACATTTTGTAGTTCAGCAATCTCGCCTGCCTGAAAGGAAGCTGTCAGTATACAGTGGTACTCTGACCTAAAGTCAACAAGTGACTTCAAGATCTCTATCACTGTTGGCTCAGCATTTCTTGTCTGGAAAATTCTGGTTATCCAGCCAAACATTTTCCTTGCAGTAGCAATAGTCTACACTACTTTACAGTAACAGTAACAACCACATTCTACAGAAAATGACGAATACTTAGAGAAGTTGACAGAAACATAAGTTGACAGAAACATGAGAAGTTGACAAACATGGGAAGAAGTTGACAGAAACACGGGAAGAAGTTGACAGAAACACGGTAAGAAGTTGACAGAAACATGAGAAGTTGACAAACATGGGAAGAAATTGACAGAAACACGGGAAGAAGTTGACAAATACGGTAAGAAGTTGACAGAAACATGAGAAGTTGACAAACACGGTAAGAAGTTGACAGAAACATGAGAAGTTGACAAACACGGTAAGAAGTTGACAGAAACATGGGAAGAAGTTGACAAACATGGGAAGTTGACAGAAACATGAGAAGTTGACAGAAACATGGAAAGGAATAAACGTAAGAGACAAAGATGTCCCTAAATAGGAACAAGATGTGAGAGAGAACGAGACAGACAACAGCTGGTGACTGAGGGAGAAAGGGAGTGAGAATCATGTAAAAGCACAACACGGCAGTCTGACACACTCTGCTAGCTGCACCAAGAGAGTTACACAACAGCTGCAAGACAGTTACACAACACAACTGCCACGACATTACCAACAACCGCTGCACAGCGTTCCACACAAGACAGTTTCACCAACAACAACAACGCTACACCAAGACAGTTACCAACAACACAGCTACCACCAAGACAGTTACCAACAACACAGCTACCACAGACGTTACCAACCAGCACACAAGACAGTTACCAACAACACAGCTGCCACCAAGACAGTTACCAACAACACAGCTACCACCAAGACAGTTACCAACAACACAGCTACCACCAAGACAGTTACCAACAACACAGCTACCACCAAGACAGTTACCAACAACACAGCTGCCACCAAGACA